ATGTAAGTTCAGTGCTAGCCAGGGTTACATATGTAAGTTCAGTGCTATCCGGGGTTACACATGTAAGTTCAGTGCTATCCGGGGTTACATATGTATGTAAGTTCAGTGCTATCCGGGGTTACATATGTAAGTTCAGTGCTATCCGGGGTTACATATGTAAGTTCAGTACTAGCCAGGGTTACATATGAATTTAAGACCGGCATAGTTTTGCTTATCTTCATCATTGTCACTGTGGGTGTGGCTGTGCACACATGTGCCACAGCACACGTGTGGAGGGCAAAGGACGACTTTGTGGATCCGTTCTCTCCTCTCGATGTGGGTTCTGGAGCTCAGGGCCTCGGAACTGCACAGCGGGCACCTCCACCTGCTGAGCCTTTCTCCTGGCCCTGCTTTATTTTTATGTATGCACATGTTGATTTATATATCTAGTTCCCAGTTTGCCTGTGTGTGTGTGTGTGTGTGTGTCTGTCTGTCTCTCTGTGTGCACACAGGCCATGGTGTGTTCCATCCTCATTTCTCTTCCCTACAGTTCCTGTGTCTTAAGAACATCCGGACCTTCCTGTCTACTTGCTGTGAGAAGTTCGGCCTCAAGCGCAGTGAACTCTTTGAGGCCTTCGACCTCTTTGATGTACAGGACTTTGGAAAGGTGAGCTGGATTCCCCGTGCCCAGAGGTTGGCCTCAATCTCTTTCCATTATTACTTGATGTGTGTGTATGCATGTGTGTGTGCCCGTAGATTATTGAGGGCACTGGTAGCATAGCCAGGTGGGCCTTCTAGGATGCTGCCTGAATTATGGGCTTGGGGCCTGTGGGATGAGTTCTAGGATCTGCCCACCTGCTTGCTGTGTGATCTCGGCTAAATGGTTCTGCCTCTCTGATCCCCAGTTCCTCCTATGTAACAAGCTATTGCCTCGCCCTGCCTGAGTGATCACGTGGAGAGGCTTTGCTTGTGGTGTCGGGATATAGGGGAGATGCTGAACTACGCTCCTCAAAGTCTCAAGGGACAGCTTTAGTGCTGGGAGCCCGGGAGGGGGCATGAAAAGGGATTCTGAGCAGCTATGTCCTCACCGCAGGTCATCTACACCCTGTCTGCCCTGTCATGGACACCCATCGCCCAGAACAAAGGAATCATGTGAGTAGCAGTCAGGACTGTGGGTCTGGGGCCTCCCTGAAGCTCCTGCCCACCGTCCCAGTGCTCTGCTTACACCTTTCTGTCTCGCAGGCCTTTCCCAACGGACGACAGCACCGTGGGCGACGAAGATATTTACAGTGGCCTTTCAGACCAGATTGAGTGAGTATTGAGGTTTGATGTGTGCAGGACACAGTGGACACTGGATCTTTCTGGGGTCTGAGGGGACATGGATCTGACCTAGGGTCTGGGTGACATGAATCTGTTCCAGGGTTTGAGGGGACATGGATCTGTCCCAGAGTTAGAGTGACATGGATCTGACTTAGGGTCTTAGGGGTCATGGATCTGTCCTAGGGTCCAAGGGGACACAGCTTTGTCTTGGAGTCTGAGGGAACACAGATCTGTCCTGGGGACAGATTTAAAGGCTTGAGGGCATTGCGGATTTAGCTTTGACTCTGAAGGGATCTGATGTGTCCTTGGCTTGGGGACATGGCTGAATCTTTTCCCCAGTGACACCACAGAGGAAGATGAGGACCTTTATGACTGCGTGGAGAATGAGGAGGCAGAGGGGGATGAGATCTATGAGGACCTCATGCGATCGGAGTCCGTGCCTACGCCGGTGCGTGGGTCCGGGAAGGGCTGGGCAGGTGGACAGGGCGAGCACGCCTGTAGAGCGCTCCACCAACCTCTGTCATCCTTGTCCACAGCCCAAGATGACTGAGTACGACAAACGCTGCTGCTGCTTGCGGGAGATCCAGCAGACCGAGGAGAAGTATACGGACACGCTGGGCTCCATCCATCAGGTACGCGGCGCCCATGGTCCCTACCAGCGATGTCTCCTCCCTGTCTTCCCCAAAGCCCAGGCTGCCCTCAAACTCACAATTCTTCTGTCTCGGCTTTTTTTTTTTTTTTAAATTATTATTTATTTATTATGTATACAATATTCTGTCTGTGTGTATGTCTGCAGGCCAGAAGAGGGCACCAGACCTCATTACAGATGGTTGTGAGCCACCATGTGGTTGCTGGGAATTGAACTCAGGACCTCTGGAAGAGCAGGCAACGCTCTTAACCTCTGAGCCATCTCTCCAGCCCCTGTCTCGGCTTTCTGACAAGCATGTGCCACCATACCTGGCTCCATTGTTAAAATCCCAGGTTAACAGAGGTGGATAAATACACTAAACAGCCCACTCAGTCATTTGTCAAATCCAGCGATGGGCGGTCTGTGCCACACACTCTATACCTCAGCTGTTAACTTTCGATTTTCCATTCTCCCCAACCCCCAGGACCCACAAATCCACCTTCTGTCTCTGAATTTTCCTGTTCTGGACATTTCCTGTCTAGAGCCCCACACTGTGTGGTCTTTTTGTGTCTGGTTCTCTCACCTAGCACAGCATCCTTGGGGTCCCTCCACTGTGTCAGAGCCTGCTCATCGTTGAGCAATATTCCAGTGTGTGGAAGAACCACACTTGATCTCTCATCTACAGGTGGATTTTGATGGTGTCCACTTTGGGGCAATTAGTGATAACTCTGCCTTGGAACCGGGAGACAGTTTTTTGTATGGACATTTCCTTTCTCTTGATTTTTTCTTTAATTTTTAAAAATTTATTCATTTTATTTTATGGGTGAGTGTTTTACCTGGATGTGTGTGTGTGCACCACATGAGGGTTTGGTGCCTAGGGAGGTTAGAAGAGGGCGCCAGGTCTCCCAGACTGGTTGAGAACAACCACCTGGGTGCAGGAATCCAACCAGGTCCTCTGCGAGAGCAGCAAGTGTCCTTAACCACGGAGCCATCCCTTCATCCCTCAGATTTTCTTTCTGTGAGACATATGTTCACTGTGTAGCCCAGCTGGCCTTGAAGCGCGGGGATGGCATGTGTCACCATGTCTGGGTCTCCATTTCTTTTGTCTGTCTCTTTCTGTCTATTTATCTGTCTTTCTTTTGTTCACCCCTCCTCCCCAGTGTGTGTCTCATTCTCTAATTCTCTGTTTCTGCTCCTGTCTGTTTCTGTTTCTGCCCATTTCCATGTCTCTGGTACACTTTAGCTGTCCCCCCTACCTCTCTCTCTCTCTCTCTCTCTCTCTCTCTCTCTCTCTCTCTCTCTGCCTCATTTCTGTCTCTGTGTGGGTGTCTGTGTCTTTCCGAACCATCTCTGTTTCTGTCTCCCTCTCTCTGTCTGTTTCTTTGTCTTTTCTTCCTTGCTGTTTCTGTCTGTCTTGTCTGTGTCTGCCTCTCAACCCCTTGCTGTTTGTGCGTCTTCTGCCTTGTTCTTTTTCTGGGTGAGCTGGATGGGGGATCCTCTTTCTCTTACCTCCTGTGACTCTCTCCAGCACTTCATGAAGCCCCTACAGCGATTCCTCAAGCCTCAAGACATGGAGACCATCTTCGTTAACATCGAGGTGAGCCGGCAGGTTCCCAGACCTCTTCGCCTCTGACTGTAACCTGCCTTGGGGCGTGTGCACCACTCTCTCCTCTCCTGTCATTCTGTGCCTGTGCCCAGGCTTCAGCCCCATCTCTTCCTTCCTCTTTCCCTTGGGGTAGGAGCTGCTCTCTGTGCACACCCACTTCCTGAGGGAGCTGAAGGATGCCCTGGCCGCCCCGGGAGCAACAATGCTGTACCAAGTCTTCATCAAGTATAAGGAGAGGTGAGACGTGGCTGACTAGACCCTGAGGGTCACAGCCGTGCCCGAGTGGGCAGGGAATACTAGGCAGCGAACACTGGGCAGGGTTCTTCACTGAGTGAGGGATGGAGGTTGAATGAATCCAGGACTTGGGGGATTCCAGGTGAGGCCTCTCTCCATGACCAGGACCCCAACCCCTCACTGGGGGATAATAGGCAGGGGCTCTACCCTGACCATGCCCTGAGCTGGCTTTCCCAGCTCTTGGTATTTTTACTTCGACTGAGTTCCCTCATCTGTGAATCTGCGTGTCCAGGGTTACAGTGAGGATCGGATAAAGCACTGAACAAGGTCCTCAGCACAGGGACTGGCACACAGGTGGTGCTTATAACTGTGATGTCAACAGCCGTTGGCTGCAGACTGTGACGGTTTGGGAAGAGCCTCAGCTGTACACTGTTTACTGCCATAGCAACCCTCTGGGAGGTACTGCTGCCAGGCCTGTGTTAGAGATGGGGAAACTGTGGCTCGGGGTTATGCATTCAGATGAAAGAGGCCAGAATGGGCGCTTAGATTCCCTAACCTTATAATCACCCTTCTGTGGTGTCCCACCCTGGCCCGCAGGTTCCTTGTTTATGGCCGTTACTGCAGTCAGGTGGAGTCAGCCAGCAAGCGCTTGGATCAAGTGGCCACAGCGAGGGAGGATGTGCAGATGAAGCTGGAGGTGGGGCTGTGCCACCCTTGAGGGTTCCCCCGCTCTGCTCTATGGGTATCGGGGAGCACGGGACAGACGGAGTTGGGTCCACTTTGCAGTTTACAATCCTTTGTGCATGGGGTGTGCACGTGTATATGTGTCTGCTTGTTCATGCGTGCGTGTGTGTGTGTGTGTGTGTGTGCGTGCATGCTTATGGATGTCAGAGGACAGCTTTGGCTCTCACCACCCACCCTGGTTTTTGAGACAGTGTCTCTCACTGCTCTTGATCTCACCTAGTAGACTAGCCTGTCCAGGGAGCCCCAGGGACCTGTGTGTCTCTACTTTCCCAGAGCTGGAATTAAAAGTGGTCACCACCGTGCCTGATGTGTGTGTGTGTGTGTGTGTGTGTGTGTGTGTGTATTTGGAGGCCAGAGGTTGGTGCCTGGTGTCCTCCATTATGGCTCCCCATCTTATATTTTGAGAAATGGTCTCTTGCTGAGCCTGAAGCTCACTGATTGACCAGACTTGCAGGTCAGTGAGCACTGAGTATCTGTCTCTGTCCCCCTGCCAACACCCCCCCGCTCCACTGCTAGAGTTAGACATATGTGGCTGTTCACGTGGGTGCTGGGCATTTGAACTCAGGTCTTTATATTTGCATGGTAAGCCTTTTTCCAACTGAACCACTCCCCAGCCCCTAGCTGGGGGTCATTGAAGGGAGACGCTTCCAGAGGCCATGCAGAAAAAAGAGATCAGGGAGGACATGACCCACAACTCGGAGTCCGTACCCCAGTAGAGCCTTGACTTTGGGATGGCCAGTCTTGACCCTGAACCCAGCTCTGACCTCACAATGAGCCCTGATGCCAGGCAATGTGGCCCACGGTTCCTCTCCCTCCCACACTGGCTTCTCCAGCACTGGAAGCCCCTGTCAGCCCTCAGCACCCCCATCCTTATTCCCCTGTTGGGAGGTGCTGTGCGCTGCGTGGACTGCGGTGAAAGGCATGGGAATAGAAAGCTACTCAAATACAGATCTATCAAAGTGTGCACGCGCGTGTGTGCATATGTACATGTGTACATGCTCACGTAGTGGCCAAAAGTCAGCACTGGGTAGCTTCCTCTATCACACTCCACCTCTTTCTAATTTGACTTATTTTTAGTTTATGTGTGTGTGAGTTTTGGCTGCACGTATGTCACGTGCACCTCTTTCTGGCAATGCCTGTGGATGCCGGAGGGCGGCATCAGACCTCTTGGAACTGGAGTCACAGATAGTTGAGTCTCTGTGTGGGTGCTGAGAATCGAACCCAAGTCCTCTACCAGAGCAGCCGGTGCCCTTAACCACCAAGCCATCTCTTCAGTTCCTCTTTTACATTTATGTATTCCTTATTTATTTGCTCTCTCCGTGTGCACGTGCCAGAGTGTGCCTGTGGGGGTACCGGGGACTGGACTCAGATTTCAGGTTTGATGGCAAGCCTCTTTCCCTGCTGAGCCATCTCACCAGCCGCTGGGCCTTGTTTTTCAGACAGGGTCTCTCACAGAGACCTGAGGCTTGTTCATTTTGTTAGGCTGGTCTTGGGTGAGCACCAGGGGTCAGCCTGTCTCTGCTTTCTCAGTGCTGAGCTCACAACTGCCTGCACCAACACACCCAGTTTATTTGTTTTTACTGTGGGTTGGTTCTGGGGATGGAATTCAGTTCCTCGTGTTGGTATGGCAAGCACTTTACAGATGGAGTCATCTGTACTGTGGTCTGTGTGCATCTCCCCTCCTCCCTCCCCCCTGCATTCAACTGGTTCCTATGATGCTCCTGTTTTCTGCCCTGCCAGGAATGTTCTCAAAGAGCTAACAACGGCCGATTCACCCTGCGGGATCTGCTCATGGTGCCCATGCAGAGGGTGCTGAAGTACCACCTCCTCCTCCAGGTGCCAGCACAAGGCGGGGTCCCTGGCTGTGGCTGGGTGCTTTTCTAAACTCCTTTCTCTTGCTCAGTTAAAAACGCCTGGGGTGTGGGGGGACATCCTTAAGGGAGAAGGCGCTTAGTTGGCTCACTTTCTAGGTTATAGTCCACCATCTTGGGAAGTCAAGGCAGGAACTGGAAGCAGCTGACCGTGTCCACAGTCAAGGGTGGAGCAACCAAATGCACGCTCCCTCACTTATGCTTGGAGCAGTCTCTGAACTAGCACAGTCCAGGACCAGGAACCCCGGGAGTGGAGGCACTCACAAGGGACAAACCTTCCATCCACATGAAGACAATTAAGATAATCCCCCACAGACACGCACACAGGCAAGCCAGTGTAGACAGTCTCTCCCTGAGACTCTTCTCAGGTGATTCTCAACTGTCAACATGACAATTAAAATGAATCATTACAGCATCCTAAGGTGTGACAGAGGATAGGGAAGAGTTGACTTTGAGGGGTTAGCTTTTGGGTCAGTCTCTAGGAAGCCCTAGTGGCTTCGTTGGAAGTTTTTCTGGGGACTAGGGGCAGGCCCAGGTGACATCTAACTCCTTGGTCCACACAGGAGCTGGTGAAACACACGCAAGATGCTACGGAAAAGGAGAACCTACGACTGGCTTTGGACGCCATGAGGGTGAGGGAGTGGGTGCCGTTGGTTGGGTACCCAAGCTGGCAGCAACCTTTCTACCTCCTGGTGGGGGTTGATCCTTTACTACCCATAGAAGGAACTGGGCCAGGGGTGCGGGCAACAAAGACTGTTTTACCGTTTCCCATTCACAGGACCTGGCGCAGTGTGTGAATGAGGTCAAGAGGGACAACGAGACCCTGCGGCAGATCACAAACTTCCAGTTGTCCATCGAGAACCTGGTGAGGGGCGGAGCCGGGTGGGCCAAGGGTGTGGACCCACGGGCAGGATCCTGACCCTCTATTGGGGATCCATGCTTAAACCTCACTCTACCCACCGTGCAGGACCAGTCTCTGGCCAACTATGGCCGACCTAAGATTGATGGTGAACTCAAGATAGCCTCAGTGGAACGGCGCTCCAAGACGGACAGGTGGGTGGAGCAAACTCGGACCAAGGGAGGAGCAGAGATTGTGGGAGGGTCCAGTGCTAAGGTGGAGGGTGGAGCAGGGTCAACTTGAGTCTAGCGTGAGTAAATGCTTGGGCAGTAAGTGGAACCTGATTTCTAGATAGGTGCACGAGGTCAACACAGATTTGAGGTGAGCCTGTGTAGGACTACAGTCTCTTATTTGTGAGAGAGGGTCTTACCATGTAACCCTGACTGGCTTTGAACTCACAGCCTCCTGAGAGCTGGAATTAAAGGCAAGAGACACCATGGTTATATGAGGCCAGGTATTTTGACAGATAAGTAGGTAGGGTCAGCATGGATCTGGGGTGCAGTCTGGCCAGAGAGCATGGCTAAATGCCTTGATAGACAGCTGGGAGCAGAGTCAAGATATACTTGAAGGATTCTTGGTGGGGCCAGCTTCCTCAACAGACATGTGGGCAAAGTCCCTAGATTTGGAGAGGAGCCTGGATCAAGTAGGCGGTGGGGCCCAACTGATAGATGGAATGGTTGGTGGAGTCACCTTAACTAACGTGGAGCCTCGATCAATGTGCGGTTGAGAGAGATTGGACAGGGCTGGGCCAACTTGGATCACATGGGTGAGGTTAGGGCGCGCTGTTGAGCTTCTCTGAGTTGGTCAAGGTCAGAGCTAGAATCCGCTGCAGGAAGGAACAGGACTTGAAGATGCTGGGGCAGAGGCAGGAGAGGGAAGTTGGGAGGGGTCAGACCTGGCCCCTGACCTGGCGGCTTGCAGGTATGCCTTCTTGTTGGACAAAGCGCTGCTCATCTGTAAGCGCCGCGGGGATTCCTACGACCTCAAGGCCTCGGTGAACCTGCACAGCTTCCAAGTTCGGGATGACTCCTCCGGGGAGCGAGACAACAAGAAGGTGGGCTCTGTCACGGGGACTCTGACTCAGGCAGCTTGGCCTTGGGGTTGCCTGCGTGTGGGTGAGAGAGAGAGAGTATCTCACTACTTACTCTTTAATCTTTTCGTTTAAAAGTTCTGTTTTGTGTGTGAGTTGGAGTCCAGAGGCAAGCTTAGGTGTCATTCCTCAGGGGCCATCTACCACCTCGTTGGTTTCTTTTTTTTTCCTTTACACTGGCTGACCAGGGAGACCCAGAGAGTCACCCATATCTGCTTCCCCAGTTCTAGGATTATAATCACTACACACACACACACACACACACACACACACACACACACACACACACTACTTTGAGATGGGGTTTCTCTGTGTAATAGTTCTGGCTATCCTGGAACTCGCTCTTAGTAGACCAGGCTGGCCTCAAACTCACAGAGATCTGCCTGCCTCTGCCTCCATAGTTCTGGAATTAAGAGCGTGCACCACCACCATTTGGCCACTCCTGATAGTTTTAATGTAAGTTCTGGGGTTTGAACTCAGGTTCCTGAACACTTTATGGACTGAGCCACTGCCCTAGTCCAACAATGAACTCTTCAGTATTTGCATCATTCTTTTGGGTGGTAGGATTGAAGTAGGCATGGTCTTGGTGTTGCAGGCTTGTAATCTTAGCAACTTGGGAGTCTGTGGCTGGAGGACCCAAGTTCAAGGCCTGCCTGGTTTACAAAGTGAGTTCAAAGTCAGTCTGGGCAACTTAGTGAGACCCTATCTCAAAAGAAAAAAGCAAAAAAGAGTAATAGGATGAGCTCAGTGGTTGAGTGATTGTGGGAGGCCCTGAACTCAGTTTCTATGCTACTAAAACAATAGTAACTACAAACTAGAAACAAAAACCTCTAAAGACAAAACAAACAACAAAAGAAGCAATAAACCTAGGTGTTGTCCCTCTGCCATCACGGTTACATTGTAGGAACTAAGGATAAAAAAGAAACAGATTCTACAAAGAAAGTAACACCGGTCCGATACAGTGAAGGGTGTGGGAGGGAGGGAAGTGGGCTATTCAAGAATCCATTGGTCAGAGTGTGGACCAATTGTTTGAGTTGTATGCCACCGGCCAGCTCCCAAATCGTGATGCGGAGACTTATTATTAGTTTTGGATGCTCGGCCTTAGGCTTGTTTCCAGCTAGCTCTTTCAGCTTAACCTGTTTCTCTTTATCTATGATTTGCCTCAGAGCTCTTTACCTCTTATACTTTCCTGCTCTCTCTGTTTCTGGCTGACCGATGGCTGCTTGGCTTCTGGTCCCAAGTGTCTCCCTTGTTCTCTCCTCTCTTCCTCTCATCCCTCTTTCTCTTGAGTCTAGATTTCTCCTATTTATTCTCTCCCTCTGCCATCCCTGCCTATTCTTTTTCCTGCCTAGTTATTGGTTGTTCAGCTCTTTATTAGATCAATCAGGTGCCTTAGACAGGCAAGGTGAAACAGATGCAACACATCTTTACATAATTAAGCACACATCCTTACCTTGTTAAACAAATGCAGCAACACACTTTTACACAGTTAGAGTAATATTCCGCAGCGTAAACAAATGGAACACATTTTTGTCTAGTTAAAATAATATTCCACAACAGAGTTGAAGTCTCCCTCTTTGATCAGCTCTCTCTTCCTTTCCTCTCTTCCCTCTACTTGGAGGATAAACACAAAAACAATGACTTGGTGTCTTTCTGCAGAAGGCTGTGTGTGGCTTTGGGCACAGATGTGTTTGGATGGTCTGGACGGCCCTGTGTGAACACACCCATGCGTATGTCCAGCCGCTAGAGCAGTTCTTTACCTTGATGGATGAGGAACAGGTTGGCTGTAGTCCTGCCTTCTGCAGGGGTTCAGTCTGAGATCTGTCTCTCCACATACAGTGGAGCCACATGTTCCTTCTGATCGAGGATCAAGGCGGCCAGGGCTATGAGCTGTTCTTCAAGACGCGGGAGCTGAAGAAGAAGTGGATGGAACAGTTTGAAATGGCCATGTGAGTCTCCTTCTCCTGTTGCTTTGTTCGCTCTCCACACCACAAAATCAGCAGCAACAATGAACTAAAAACAAAACACTCAAAAGATAAAAATGAAAAACCTAGAATAGCGGCAGCAGCAAACAAAAAACAAAAGGACAAAATAAAGAACCAAGGCCTCATCGTCTTTCTCCTCTGCCTTTTCCTTCATTCTCTACTCTTTCTTCTTCCGTCCTCGGGTTCTTCCTCCATGTACACACTCCACTCCCACTTTCCCGTCTGTTTCTCTCTTTTTATCTCCTTCTCTTCCTCTGCCTCCTCCTCTACCTGCTTTTCATTCTATTGAGGTGAAAGCTACATAACAAATCCCAAACATCTTATAGCTACAATTCTGTGGCGCTTAAACACTTGTGAAACTTGTAATTATCACCTCTTAGCTCAAAACCCTTTCATCACCCTCAGAGGAGACCCTGGACCCCTTTAACCATCACTCTCCACCCTTCTCCTAGCCTTTGGTACCCGCCCACCTGCTTCCTCTCCCTGTTGATAGTCACAGCACCTTGACTCACAATAGCCTGAAGGTGGATGCAACTCAAACATCCACGCACGGATGCCCAGATTTACTGCGATGCCTTTATGCTGTAGGATGCTCTTCATCCATGTACAGGATGACGTATTGGTTCTTTGCTTTCAAATTCTCTTTTCAGCTCCAACATCTACCCAGAGAATGCCACAGCCAATGGGCATGACTTCCAGATGTTCTCCTTTGAGGAGACCACTTCTTGCAAGGCCTGCCAGATGCTACTCAGGTGTGTATGTGGGAGATACTGTGCCTGGGGCTTGCTCAGACCTCCCTCTGTAGAGAGAGCCTTCGCTGGTCACCTGCCTGAGAGAAGGGAAGCCCTACTGGGGCTTCTTCCACCTGTCTTCCTTCTCCTCTTCCCCCTCATCCTTCGTTTGGATAGTGTCTCCCTTAGTAGCCCAGGCTAGACTTGGATGCACTATCTGCTTTATCCTTCCAATGCTGGGATGGCAGGTGCCCACCACCAAGCTTGGCCTTTGCTTTCTTTCAAAGGACATGTGTTGGTGGTTAGGGTACCAGTAACACCCCATGACTCCCCCTTTATCTGTCTTGCATTCCAGAGGTACATTCTACCAAGGATATCGCTGTCATAGGTGCAGGGCACCTGCACATAAGGAATGTTTGGGGAGAGTGCCTCCATGTGGCCGCCATGGGCAAGGTATTTCTAGGCCAACGTGAGGGAGGCGGGCTGCTTCTCTGTCGGGGGATTTTCTTCTGAGCTATGTACTTTTCCCTTCCGTAGATTTCTCAGGAACTATGAAGAAGGTAAGATCCAATTTCATTCTGTACTTGGGAGATCATAGAGGCTCATGAGAGAGGAACCAGGAGACCCTAGAAATGGGCATTGCCATCCTTGGCTGGACAAGCACAGTGAAGCGCTAAGGATTCACCTGGCTGGGAATAGGTGTCTACTTCTGTCATCTCTTCCTCTAGGACAAGCTACATCGAAGGGCCCAGGACAAGAAAAGGAATGAACTGGGTGAGTGTGAGGAGTGCAACTGGATGCTACTCCAGGAGTGGGAGGAGGCAAACCACATCTCTAGCTGCTCACTGGGTGAACTAGGCAGAGCTGCACTCTGACCCAGCCCCTCACTGGGTAAACTAGGTGGTGCTCCACCCCTGACCACGCCCCAGACCCCTCAATGGTTGAACTTGGTAGGGCCCACCCCTGACCACACCCCTAGCCCCCCTCATTGGGTGAACTAGGTGGGGCTCCACCCTGACCACGCCCCCTCCTGGGTTGGGGGAGGGATTCTAGTCAGGGGCTCTACTTTTAGGCTGCCCTGTGTTCATTGCCTAGTGTGTACACTGCAGTGGGATTGCTGGGGCCTGGGGTAGACACACTTGAGTTCTAGTTTCTCCACACCCTCATCGCCACTTGGTGTTATCCATCTTCTTCAGTTTAGAAGCAGCTTTGAGTGCTCTGTCAACCATGTTGTTTCATCTCCTTCCACCCTCCAGGTCTGCCTAAGATGGAAGTGTTTCAGGAATACTATGGGATCCCTCCCCCGCCCGGAGCTTTTGGAACATTTTTGCGGCTCAACCCTGGGGACATTGTGGAGCTCACTAAGGCAGAGGCTGAGCACAACTGGTGGGAGGTATGGACGGTGACTGCAGGAGGGAGGGGCAAAGGATGAGTGCAAGTGATGCGGAGGGCTCAGGGCACCACCTCGTGAGGTTCTAGAGTGGGTCCCTGCATGACAGGTACGTGGGTGGAGATATCCAGGGATGGCCACCTCCTGGGAGCTGGAACTCCTTGGCAGCTCTAAAGGCCACCACAATGCCTTTAATTCTATGGATTAGATTTTTTATCTTAGGGTGCTTGGGTAGATCTCAGGGCTTCAAGAGTGCTAAGTAACTTTATCTGCTGAGCCTCACTGAGGGATTCTAGGCAGGGGCTCTGACCCTGACTATGCCCCCAGTCCCTCATTTGGAGATTCCAGGCAGGGCCACTGCCTCTGAAACATGTCCCTAGATCCTCATGGTGCATGAGGATATTGAGAGGAGAGAGGGGAATGCATGCATGTGAGTGCATCGTCCTCCCCCCCACCCATACACACACTAATGGATACCTGTTAATTCTGCTTCTGCTTTTGTCTCCTGCTTTTCTAGGGAAGAAATACTGCTACCAACGAAGTAGGCTGGTTCCCCTGTAACAGAGTACGCCCCTATGTCCACGTGAGTGCCTCATTCTGGATTGTGAGGGTCAAGGGTCAGATAGAGGTCTAGCAGACAGAACCATCTAGGGAGGTCACCTTGAGATTTCCTCAGGGATCATCCATGTATCAGTCTTTCAAGCCCCTACCCATCCTGTCCACCATGGCAGGTCACACCTTGTCGAAGCAGGGCTTTGTCTGCTCCGCTGAGTCACTTTGGAGTCAGCATGCAATTGCTAATTGTGGAAACTTTTTGCCTTTTCTGTGAAAAAAACCCACACTTTTCTTGGGGTATTGTATGGGACAAGCAGAGGCCCAGAAGGTGGGCCAGTCCCTGCCTTCTTTCCTAAGCACTAAACTAGGTCCTGTGAAGTCATTATGGCCTCCTTCTTCCTGGTCATGCTCCTGAAGGACAGATCTGTCATTTCCTTTTCAGCGGTTCCCTGTTCATTATTAATTTTTTTCCCAAAATTGCAGTTTTAAAAATCAATTCTTGGAGCATTTCGTACATATGTACAATATGTTTTGATCATATTCAGCCTCCATTCATCCCCCTAATTCCTCTCAGATCCACTTATCCCTACCCACTTTGTTCCTCTTTCTCTCTCTCTCTCTCTCTCTCTCTCTCTCTCTCTCTCTCTTTCTTCTTCTTCTTTTTTAAAAAAATAATCCTGACTTATCCAGGCATGGTGGCACATGCCTTTAATCCCAACACTCGGGAGGTAGAGGTAAATGTATCTCTGTAAATTCAAGGATAATCTGGTCTACAAAGTGTGTTCCAGGTTAGCCAGAGCTACACCGAGAAACCCTGCCTCAAAGAAACAAAAACAAATAAACAAAAATCCCGAGTTGAATTGTGCTGCCCTTACACTCATAGGTGTGAGGCCACTGACTGGAGTTTGGTTTATGTACCAGAGCCACACCTTCAAATCCAGTAGTCTTGACTCTGTGTGAGTGTGTGGGTGTGCATTCCATGGCTCACATGTGGAGGTCAAAGGACAGCTTGTAAGAACCGATTCTCCCCTTCTACTCTATAGATCCTGGGAATTGAACTTGGATGGTCAGACTTAGGGACAAGGACCTTTACTTACTGATTATCTTGCTGACCCTAAATTAACTACCAGTTAACACCAAAACAATGGTCGTCCTAATGACAGTTTTATGTTCATATCATTATCTTTTGTTCACATTCACCTCCAACTGCCCTCCCCATCCCTCTTCCCCTTCCTCCTCTTCCCTGTCCTCTTCCTGAACACATCCATATGCCTTCAGTGTGAACCTAAATTTCTCTAATGTCAAATGATGTTGTAAGCTTCAAACTCTATCCTTCCTTCCAGATTGGCCATCTCAAGGTTTAGGGCATGATCAGGGTGGAGCCCCCACCTAGAATTCCCCAGTTAGGGGCTGGGGGCGTGGTCAGGGCGGAGCCCTGCCTAGAATCTCTCAGTGAGGGGCTGAGACATAGCTAGGGGTTTATGGACAAGGCTCTGAATCCCATCCCCATCGCTCCCAATAAATCTAAACAACAACACAAATATACATCACTGAAGGCTGAGCATGTGGCTGAGTGGTGGACAGCTTCCTTAGGAGGCACTGTCCCTTTCCCTCTCTACATAGTCATCCATGTGTCCACCTGTCACCTTCCTACCCATCATTGCTGGAAGGCGTGAGTTCTAGGATCTGTGTATGTCAGGAAATCGTTCTTCAGTATTGTTTTAAGTGGTGAATATCCAATGCGTGCAGCCATGGGCTTCATAAAGCCATCGTCATGCATGTGTGTCATGTTGTTCGACTGTTTTCACCCCCCTTGTCCTCTTTCCCGCCTTTTCTCCCTCCCCTTCCTTCACAGTCTTGTTATTTCTGCTCTTTCTCCAGCTGTCTTGCTCCTATTCCTATGCCTTCTATACACCTGCCATGCTAGGCATGCGTCTCTACACCCGCCACTCTAGGCATGCGTCTCTACACCCGCCACTCTAGGCATGCGTCTCTACACCCGCCATGCTAGGCATACACCTGTTATAACACACCGCCATGTTATGCATCTCTCATACCGTGTAGATTTTTGTCCATCATTGAAGGAAATGAATGCCATGCCTGGTGTCCTAGCTTTATTTCTGTTGCTGTGATAAAACACCATGACAGAAAGCAACATGGGGAAGAAATCAGCTTATGATTCCAGGTTACAGCCCATCACTGTAGGGAAGTCCAGGCAGGAACTTCAAACGGCTGCTCACACCACACTGACAGTCAAGATCAGAGAGAAATGGCTGTGTACTTGACTCAGTTTATTCTCCTTATACAGGTCAGGATCCCTGTCCTAGGGAATGATCCACCCATAGTGGGCTGGGCTTCCTACATCAGTTAACACAATGAAGAAAATCTCCCACAGACACATCCGTGGGAAGCTTGATCTTCAGCCTCTCCTTGAGACTGTCTTCTCAGGCGATTCTAGGTTGGGTCATGCTGGAAAAGCAGCCATCACATTTGACTTGAGGTTAATGAATGTGTATTACATGTGATCTATAAACACGAGGGAAGCCAATTGTGTTCTAGGGTTGTTTCCCCATGAATAGCACAGTTCCGGGAACACCACCCATTCAGCAGGTGCTAGTGGAGTGGGTGTGAGTGGGTGTCCCTGAAGTCTTCCAGGTAAGGACTTCTTCTCTGAGTCTGGGTTTTTGTCTGTGTTCCCAGGGCCCTCCTCAGGACCTGTCTGTGCATCTCTGGTGAGTACAATCACATTTCCTTATTTTAAAATGGAGTTTTGTGTGTGTGTGTTTGGGGGGTGTCAAGGGAGAACTAAGGCTGAATGTGGAGGCTTTCAGAACAATTGTTAATTTATTATTTGGATCCCAAGCACTTCTGAGCTAAGAGCTGCTGGGGAGTGACAGGGGAAAGGAAGGTGGCTCTGGGCCATTAAGAAAGTCACAGTGACAGTCAGGTGGTGGCAGTGATGATGGTGGTGATGATGGTGATGGTGGCGGTAAGGGTGATGAAGGGGTGATGGTGGTGATAATGGTGGTGATGATGAGGATGGTAGTGATGGTGATGATGGTGGTGATGATGGACATGATGATAGTGGTGAT